ACGGATTTTTTGTAAAATGTTTTGGTGTTTTAATGTCAGTTCATTTGAATATGAAGGTGTAATAGTCGACTTTCTTGCAAAATAGTTTTCCGTCCTTTTGAATAGACAAGTCGTCAATCACATCCAGGATTGCTTTCGTCATCTGGTGGTCGGCGCTGCGACGAAAATTCGTGGTTTGCGTGAGGAAGTCTAACAATAAGTTTCCAGTCTCTGATTGGTCATTCATGACTTCCGTTACGTCGAGCATGTATTCGTCTTTGTACTCTTGGTATTTCCAGCCTTGCTGCTTGACAACTTGTGAGATACTTTGGTTTGGTTGGCAAATGCCAAACAGCTTTTGTTTCGCTTCAAACATGATATCATCTGCAGCTGCAAAGGAATTCAATAAAACCAACTTGAAATGAACGCAATGTTTAACAACTTATGTCATTTTTTTTCAACGGTCTATCTCTAATAATTTTTTCTAACATTTTTTTTATAGTTTGCAATTAGAAAATCTAAAAACCGCTTGAGAGAGAATGGAAATTCAATCTATGAAAATGGTTATGCTGACTCCTACTTTAATGACCTTTTCGGTGAGTGTCAAGCAAAATCTTGATAGTTTCACTGCGGGATCGGGTAATCTTCGAGCTACGCGCTTCGAGTTACGCGCTTTTCGAGTTACGCGCTCGACCACGCCCAAATTTGCCCCGGCCACGCCCAGCGCATAACTCAATGCAACTAACATACATTGGTGTCTTCGAGTTATCCGCCTAGCGCGTAACTCGATGTATCTGAAATAGCTTAGTGCCTTCGAGTTACGCACTTTTAAATTAAATCAATATAAAAAAGAGCTTAATACTTTTACGGCTCTAATTTTTCAAGCAAAATATATAAAATATATAAAATATGAAATATGTCAAGTTTTAAAATTACAAATGGTAGCCCTTTTTAGGCTGCTCGAAAATGTTTGAGTTTTTAAATTTGGTCTTCATATTCTGAAAATGCATGATTTACTGCATCCTTGCTGAATATGAGACTCTTATAGTGTCTTTTATAGCGGATATACAAGCGGGTGACCACATACGAACGCTTGTAAATTTGGTCGCGTTCTTTACTCGTGACCAGGCCCTAGGCCCTAGGCCCTAGGCCGAACGCATATCATATTACGAACTTGGCTGCACCTTTGCCCCCGATCGCACTCCGATCTCTAAACGAAATATCACATTACGAACTCGGCTGTAAACAAGCGTATCATAGAACAGCAAAACAGCTCGGGATTTACTGTAGCTTTTATACTAACGAGATATAAATCGATACTTCGTAGATAAATGAAGCCCGTGGATTACACGCTCTCTTTCACTGCAATATGTTCTCAAAGCCCCTGGATATCGCATTTGTAAAATTCCTGGCGACTTTCTTGATTGAGCCTTCAATAGTTGCCCCAACCAAAATCATGTCTACATCAAATATGCATGCAGAGAACTATAGTGTCTATGTTTATCCTCTTACAAATAATGAGGTTATGCACTGCATATATACCTGGGAGAATATATAGATATACGGAGGGAGGAATATATATCTTACCAAAAACACACACGATTAATCCACTTTCTCCAAGTTCTTTCTCATAGCAGTGAGTTAAAGCCTCTTCAAAATCCATATAATAAATGGAATGGAGAAAATGAACCACGTCGAATTGATCTTGATCAGCCAAGGACTCTGTCATGTACTTCTGAAATGTTTTGGGTTTGTTGATATCAAACGTCATGTCATCATTGGGTGATAAGCTCTCAATGGATGTCTTATACTTGTTCAAAGAATACTCGTTGGGCTCAATCACTCGACAGAAAATCCTCTTTTTGGTGACTTCCTTCAGTACCTTCAGTACTTTCAAATCCACCTCTCCATCTCCCGATCCAATGCTTAATACTCTGCACGCATCTGTTGTAATATGAACGCCTTCCATTGCCACTGGTAGATAACAGCGAAGATTTTTTCCCAGTCTCGAATGTTGCTGGCTTTTCTCCAAAAACACTTTGTAACTCTTCGTATATTCTTCCCCTTTGCAATATTTGCCCATTGCGTTGAGCTTGATCTTCTCCGTGAGGACATCCATGAATATATATATCACAGTTTAAGACAAATGTCAGCACACGAAGCTTTTGTTCATGCGGTGATTGAAATGTAGTGTTGTTTGTATGTTATTTTTTCTGAAAAGGTCAAAGATCATTTTACGCTCTGTAAGCCTCAAACCATGTAATGAATTCGTTTATAAACTAACAGCCCGTACAAATGCCAGAGTATAGAAGACAATTGAAATAGTTTGAAATTTCACGAGTATTATTCAAATTTTTGATTTCGATTTTTTAAAACTTTTTATGGATATTTTTTGCAAATATTTTTGTAAAATGTGCAAAAAAAAACAAAAACAAAAAACAAAACAAAACAAAACAAAAAAAACAAAGAAAAAAAAACAACAACAACAAAAAACAAAAAAAAAACAAACAAACCAACAAAAACTTTAATTTCAATTATTCAAATCTCTTCTAACAAATGGGTTTCCACTTTGACTGTTGAATGTTTTGATTCCAGTTTTTTTTATATGTGATTATAATGTCTATAATCTTCCAGGCGTTCTTTCGAGATCGAGTGTGGAAACATGACACCTAGTATTCTACAGAAACAACTTTTACGCGAAGGATTTGGGTGACAGTAGACGACTAAAATCAATTTTTGTTCGGTGATTTTGCCATTCTAGGCCCACAATACACCACAATTGCCTATAAARCTACAACAATAACTTAGAAAAAACAATCGAAACTTTAATTTATGCAAATTTATTCACAGCACTTTTTCGTAAAAATATCGTACTTTGGCACTATTTTTTCCCCGCACTCTTTGAAATATCTGTAAGAACTCAAGTGAATGACGGTATCAAGGTCATCTTTATTCTTTTCTTAATGTGAATAGTTTTTTTAATGCGAATATTAATTTTTTTACAACATCTAGTTTATTCTGCTGACTCGAATCTGAATCCATTTTAATGCTTATTAGGTTACGTTTAATCGTAGTATTGAATGCGACAACTTTCTAGTTTGCCCTACTTACACAAAATATATCATTAACGGTGTACTTTCTATTCTATTTAGTAAAGTTTGCATAGTCGCTGAACGAGTCAAGGTAATCTTGGATTATTTTATAACAGAAGACGTACTGGTCCTGCCAAAGAAAAAAGAGGGAAAGTATTTATATGAGTTAATATGAGTAGCTTATTCTGCTTCTCTATGGGAGGCTGGAGGTGCAACAATACGAAGAAGTTAAGAGCTAAGAGAGTTTTTGAACAAGCTACCCGACTGATACTTTTAAATCATTTATACTTGYCAAGTTATATGCCACTGGCAGCCGCCTTACATCATACGCAGGATAAGTGARGTGACCAAACTTACCAACGTTTCAACTGCTCCAGGTCGATTCGTACGAATTCCTTTGACAGTCTGAAAGACGTCAACAAGCTGTTCTTGCTTCACTCGTTCGATGATCGAGTATACGGCGCAAAATGTACCACTTCGACCAATTCCATTACTGGAGGTAACAAGAAATGCAATTATGGCTATTAATTACTGTCATTATTTAATTTGATAAGACATATTTCTATTTTTGGTGGATAATAACTTCAATCCAAAACCACYCACCTGCACTGAACTACGATCGGTGAATGACCGGACTGCGCATGTCTTTGTGATTGTTCTACTTCGTTTACCAATGCTAACACACTTTGTGAACTCGTAGGGCAGCATTTGTCCTTCCAGTTTGGCATTTGTATATGTAGAAYGTSAACTTTGCTCTGAAAGAAGGTTAAAATACAAGGAGAAAGAGATTATAAAAATTAYCAAGAGAAAAAACACCAGGGAAGTATGTCGCTGTTTTGTAATTAGAGTGCAAAAAGACAGATATTTTTGAACATCTTARATAATAACTGAAAKTACTTGTCGTGGATGCATTCGGCTCTCTGTGCGTCCCAGACAATCAATTTYGGCCACTCAATAAAMATTTCATCAAAGATTATTTTTTTCAYGAAAAGAAAACAAAAACCCCTCTCACCGCGCCGTAAGTAACTTTAAAGTGTCGAGAAATAAGTTGACCAATTGTCGTTTTGTCTRAMAGCTCRACAGTCACGTGACCATAGGATGAAGAACCACTCTCAGGCCAGTATTGGATGAAATGCTGCAAAATACGTTAATGTTACATTATTATAACCAGTCAGTCAGGCAGCCATACAAAACAATACCTTGTTTTCCTCTTGCACATTGTTCAGCATAACGATCGTACTGACGTCATAGCTGACAACCATGATCCAAAAATCCTCAATGGTCTTTTTTAGCGGAGCTTGCGTGACGATGAATGCGTTACGCTCCTTGTAGGCCTGCAAATTATGTACCTTAATATTTCAGAGTAAATATAGTTACTAAATACTAAAACAAGGAATAATAAATAAACACATATTAAAACATACTAGCAAATGTTAAATAATTGACATTTTGTACATGATTATATAAAATTTTAAAATATAAGTGTTTTAAAATATAAGTGTTTTAATTCACTAAGATCTAACTTTCAACTTGTTTGCAGCAAAAATGAAATAAATATTTCATAGACAATAAACATAATTATTCAACTTATACTTACGCCAACATGTGAAGCATTTATGTAGCTTGTTGTCACATCCTCTCCGGGTTTATTGAGCAAAACTCTGCTACGATTTACTGAGAGGATTAAAAGGAACTGAAATGAATACTACAGTCTTCTCCAGCTCTTCGATGCTTTGCTATACCGATGCTTACACTAAAACTATTAGACAGCTATATTCCCAGGTTTACACTAGAGCTWTCCATTGTCATCTTTATTGCTTACATGACTTAGAACTTACATGCGATATTGTCTTTGTCTCGGTTCTTTTTTATATTTGTTAATGACCTGCCAACATCGCAGTCTT